CGGTTCTTCCTGCACTGATGAATGAATACCGTGTGCCAGAGCTAAATGTGCAGAATGGTGTCCTTAAATCTCTCTCCTTCCTGTTTGAGTACATTGGTGAAATGGGGAAAGACTATATTTATGCGGTCACTCCATTACTTGAGGATGCTCTGATGGACAGAGACTTGGTTCATAGGCAAACTGCAGCTTCTGCTGTGAAGCATATGGCTTTGGGGGTTGCTGGTTTGGGGTGCGAGGACGCGTTAGTTCACTTGCTGAACTATGTGTGGCCGAACATATTTGAGACTTCCCCGCATGTGATAAACGCTGTCATGGAGGCGATCGAAGGAATGAGAGTTGCCTTAGGTGCTGCGATAGTGCTCAATTACTGTCTGCAAGGCTTGTTCCACCCTGCCAGGAAAGTTAGAGAAGTCTACTGGAAGATCTACAATTCACTGTATATTGGATCTCAAGATGCACTTGTGGCAGCATACCCTATACTAGAGGATGAACAGAGTAATGTTTACAGTAGGCCGGAACTGATGATGTTTGTGTGAAGTTTTCGGTGAAAGAGGGCAGAACGATCTTACTGTTAGAATTGAGATTAGATTTTTGTTTTTATTTTTCTTGGCGCTGTCATATGAATCCGTATGCCTATATCTACTGGAGGGATGCTGAGATAAGGTTAGTGCTAGTCTGTTGGAAAATAACCTTGTGTCTCTATTATGAATTCACAATTGAACTTCGGTACCACAGAGATTGTATGTAACAGATTCACACTAAGATGTGATATTGCATCTGTATTAATAGCATATAAAAATTTTAGTTAACTAATAATCATAATTTTCATAAAAAAACTTGGAAAATAACACATTAGCATGGTTAAACTAGCCATTTTGAAGAAGACCCAAATAAGTCTTTCTATTATGCTAGTCTATTTTGGTTAACGGGGACAATTTCTGATAATTTATTTTTTTCGTACATGCGATGGAACATGAGTAAAAAGCAAGTTTAATACCTTAGTAAATAAGTTACTAGTGTTTGAGGAAACAACGAGTAAAAAAATAAATAGTATTTGATGGAGCATAAGTGAAATGCTGAGTTTGATATTTTGATAAATAGATAGTAATATTTAGGGAAGAAGTAGGCACCTTGAACAATTAGTGAATTTGATATTTTGAAGTAATGAAATCTCTAGTGATTGACTTAGAGAAATACGACGCAGGCATAAAAAAAGAGTTTGTATAAGATAATTTTCCTTGTACTTTTTTTTTTTTTTTTTTTAATCATCACTTAATATCGTATGATCTTATAGAATCACGAAAAAAAATTTGTTATTCATATGTGAAAATTAAATTAAAACATAACATATCCTATAAATAAATTAGAAAAAATTTTCATACAATGTATAGAAGAAAGAGTTTGAAAACTTCTTCTTAAAAGTCTTAAGAATTTTAAAAATCCCAATTCACCATCTTCTTGTGTGCCCTAGACCTTGGGCCACAATATATATATACTTGAAAGAGAAGTGAGTTGTGCAAGAAGTTTTGAGTCATCGCCTGTGATGTTTAAGATTTCCATAATGATTGAGGTTTCTGGGTGGTCGATGTTGTTCAAGGCTATTACAGAGGAGGTAGTGGTCTTACGAGTTCTTAATTTGTTGATGCACATGATGTGACGACATTATGCTGTGTAAGACATGGCTGCAATGAGATGCACAGAGGGGGAAGAGTGATTGTTGATA